TGCTGAACAACACATCCTGTTAGGTCGGTTACGTGATACTTGCATTTTCTGCAGATCAGTTTGCCAGCTTGATGTATCTAAAGAGATGTAAAATTTGAAAATGTCAGTGTTCATCCAAAAGCAGATTTTAAATTATTTTTTTAGAAACAAAAAATTCACTGCATCATTCTAAAAAATGAAATTAAAATTATAATTTGGCAATTTAAATAATGAATAATTGAAGTTGATGTGCAGCTAGGAATCTTTTCTAGTTTTAGTTCTGGAAATGACTGAACAGCCGGTACCAATGACATCTTGTGGGTTTTTTCCTAGGCTGAATCTCCGACTGAAATGGCGTACCGTTTGGAAGTGGTTGCGTAAATGCTCTAGTCGGGTGAACCTTTTCCCACACGCTTCGCATGGGTACGGTCGCTCCCCTGTGTGACACCGAAGGTGCCGCTTCAGGTCTGCGCGTCGTTTCACTGTGTGCGTACAGAAGGGGCATTTGAATCGCATCCGAGGTAAGTCATCTGTGACAGAGAAATACAGGTAAAATGTCAAATATCAGTAGTCTATGTAGTAGTTTGATTATTTTTCAGCTTAAATAAGCAGCAATTCATTTTTCCTCTGGTCTGTCACTAAACAGGAAAAATCCCAAAATATAATCCCCCAAACCCGGTATTTCTTATTGAACACGTTAAATGGCTATTTGATACTGTACTCTTTCTTACTCAGTGTATTTTTTTAGACCTACAGATTATATAAATACATAGGTATTATATATAGTTGTCATACCTGTCTCTTCTATCAGCTAACAGTTCATAGCTTTGACATTTATAATCTCTATGTAATACACCAGGATGCCTGAAGTCTTAAAAATATGCAATCATAATAAAATATAGGTACACTAGCTTCCAAAGGAATGCACTTAGGAATACACTTCCCAACCTTATTCCCCCATCTAAGGCATACAGTGCCAGTCCATCCAGAGCTCAGATGCTTTATGCAGTGTGGCCCAGCACTCCTCAAGTTTGGGCTGGTTTGGACCTTAATGCAAAGGCAGCGTCCTGCCAATGGCATGAGCTTCTCTTGTGAAGGACTTAGGCTGGATTTAGGTTGAATGCCTCTATTACTGCCAGGTATTGAGGACATTACAAGAGAAATCCAGTCCTTCGGGTCCCCAAGTCAATTACAGCTCTGTAGGCTTCATTGAACTCCATGTGGGTCCAAATAATCTGGCATGTACTGTTTTGACTTTACAGAATAGCTGGGTCAAGCTGTCCGATTCTAATTCTCATGCCCTGTTCTGGCTTCAAAGTCTCTCATTCTATTAGGCACTATAATCGAGCAGATCATGAAAATAATTTGCAACTCTAGGCATCACTTTGATTTGCATGCTGCTATACAGGTTCTCTCCAAAGATCATCTGAATTCTTCCAAATAAATACAAACTTTTCAAAATGCTATCTATTTTTTACCTTCATTCCAACTACTCATTACACCTAAAATTGTGGGCATTGAGGTGTACAGTTCCTCTGCTTTTAATTCCATGAACTCAGGAGTTCTTGAAAGTTCTTGTTCTAGCTGAGCAACAGACCACCTCTTCGGTATCACTTCTGATTCGTGGTTGTATCCATAATCATTGTGATCAGCATCATTCTCGGCATCAAATCCAGCCTCCTCTCTAACGCGAGAGACGTGGCTGGAATCTGATGCACTGCCTCCTCCACTGGCCCGCTCGGCTTTGCTCAATTTACACGGCACAAGCTCGCGGGTCTGTGACAGTCCGAGGTGCTTTCGGCGCTTTCGCGTTGAGCCCTGCTTTCTGCCCCTTTTCGATAGCTGTGTTTCTGCCTGCCGGAGAATCACCTGGGAGGACAGGTAGCTGCTGTAACCGCTCCAGGAATTTTCATTCACCGTGCTAGTCTTTTCATCCGGGATGGAAAAGGAACGCCTCGGGTTGCTCTTTGCTTTCCTTCTGGAGCGATAGAGAGATGGACGGGCAGGTTCACTGTTTGTACTTTTGGCCGAAAGGCTGAGGTAATGATCCTTCTCCTTTTCGTTAATATCCAGCGAGGACTTAATGAATGTCTTACAGACATTCAGAATCTCCGTCATCTGCAGATAGCTAGCAGCTGACATGACTTCGATCACATTCTGACCGGTCAAAGACAATATGCCTGAATACACAAAGTCCAGGATAACCATAAATGTCTCTGGAGAGAAGACCTCAAAAGTCGCTATTGTCGGCTGGCTCGTCTCCTTCGAGCTCTGCGAAAGCAGCATTTTGAAATAGCCGCTGCTGGCAAACAGCACATTGCGATGTGCTTTGAACACCTTTCCCTCGACCAGGATATTGCAGTCGCAGAACAAGTCTTGCTTCCGCTGTTCGTTTAGCTGCTCGAGGAGGTGAAACTGGTGGGAAGAGATCTCCATCCCAGTCGGGGAGTAACGGGGGAGGCTTGATCTGAAGTCAAAAGCAAGTATAATCATGACAATCTAAACCAATGTTGCAGAATCCTACTTTAAAGAGATGAGCTCTATTTTTAAAAACATGAACATCGTGCGAGTTCTCACGCTCCCAGTATAGCCCCAACCTCCCCGCACAGCGACAGGAGTGAGGAGACCAAACAGCTCGAGAAGAGGCGGCAAGCTGCCTCCGCGGGACTACTGCACAGCCCAAAGGAAGCGGGATTACACCCGTG